GGTCATTGGGCCGGCGCGTCACGTGGCGCGGGCCCCGGGCGAGCCTCCCCGGCACGCGTAACCCTTTACCTGCGCGGTGGCGCCGGGGCTCGAACCACTGGAGCCAGATCACCGACCTCTCCCGACCCCGCTGCCATCCGGCGCGCGCTGAAGCAGAAAATCCAGGCGCTCAGCCTCCGAGCACGGACGCGCAGGTTGCATGCCAACCCCCTGATGTCCTGGGAAACTTTCTGGTGCCCGCTTTTCTGTCGTGCTATAGGCACTGAATTGGGGGATAAATAAATGCACCCCCGGCAGATAGATTGGTACCCCATGCCCCCGTGTACTGGGCGTTTTTCGGTGTCCTGACTTCGGCCATGAGTTGCTTACACTGGGGCGCGCACTGCCGCGTGCGCTGATGAGCCGCGAGAATAATCCCTGGGGAAGTCGCACAGACTCGCCTGCGCCCCACAGGCCACACTGGGAGTTCAGTGAACCCAGGGTTCCTCTTCCCCTACCTTTTTCCCTTTCTTTGTCTGAAGCCTTAAGATTTTAGCGGCTACACCCCACCCACCCAACCTGCTGCGCTCCACACTCGGAGGTGTTGGAATTGTATGCTTAAGGTGGGTGGAGAACGGCCTGCTTTACCTTAAAATACTGATTAAAGATTAGACTTTTTTTTTTTTCACCTGTGCTCCAGAGCCAATGCTGGGCTTGCCAGGAAAATGTGTTAAGCAGCTGCGCCATCTAGCTTACCCTCTTCCCTTTCCTTTCCTACTCCTCCCGGGAGAGTTAGGATAAAACAGGACGCTGGAGTGACGATTGGACAAAGTACTATTTAAAGATGGACAGGCTATTCTTAATTTTTCAATGTGTCTAATGATTCCGCCTGCCTTCATGCATTTTCCACGCTTTATGGAAGGAGACTCAACTTTTTTGATCTTCCCAGTCTGCAAAGTGGTAGATTTCCGAGGGAAGTTAGGTGTTTTATGTTATTTTCTGATAAGAACTCTGTGTCACGATGGAGGCCCTGGTGTCCGTCTTCTATGCACACTTTTGTAATATCCATAGGATATTCGTACATTTATCAGTTATTCTGTCCAGAAGACTTTTGGTATTTGTCTTGTGGTTTAAAGTGTGGATTCTAGACTAGCAGAATCAGCTTCATCTGGTAGAACTTAGTAAAAAGGCAAATTCTTGGGCCCCTTCTCCCGAGACATTTTAATTCAGAACCAGTGGAGGATGGGGAAGATGAAGACATTTGTGTTTTAACACACTTCAGTTTGAGAACCACTGTTCTGAGTGTGCTCAAGCAGCTGGCTAAGTTACTCTCATCTATTAAAGGCTGAGATTCTACAAAGCCAGAGGTGCTGTTGTTACTTGTAATGCCCAATTACCAGTATTTCATAATTTGTCATGTCAATACACTGAAACAACCCTCCATTGTCTACACAAAGTGTGATCTGTACTTTCCGCAGATCACTTGAAATGTCACATAGACCTGAGAAGGCCTTTGTAAAAACGTAGAAGAAACACCATGGTTTTTCTTGATGCAGGAATGAAAACTCCATGATTCACTTATTATTATTATTATTTTTAGGTGTGCTCATTGCCACATAACTTGTTCACAACCAGTGAGTCATGTAGGATAGGAAAGTTCCTGAGTGGATTTGTCCATATAGTTCCAAATTTGTCAAATAGTTTTGAAAAAACAAATTTTCTAAAAGTTAATGGTCTCTGTTCACATTATAACCCCACCCCCCAACGCCGTAACTAGGAATTGTACTAAGGGCTCAAGAGAAAGAAGTAACTGATTGGATTCTGTATCTCAGATATCTCCATGGAATGGATAGTGATTGCCTGCATGGATGTCTTAGCTTTATATTTTATGACTGCCCCCACTTTGATTTCCTAGTCACCTTACATTTGTAACTTTACTATCTAACCAGTATCAGTTGGAATTGTAGTTATGTGAGTTTTCCTTCCCGTCATCATCTACCTTTACCAGCTACCTCCCTGACATCAGTCTAGAATTGCCACTCTTGGCATTCTCACTGCTGCTGCCCTAAGATCAAGTTCTTACACTTTCTGTCTCAGATCACTGGGCCAGTCTGTACTGGAAGAAAGGGCATATATGGGCGGGCCCCTCTTGTTCCTACTCTCTCCCCTGGAGAGAATTTATGGACCATTCTTATGCCACCATCTTTCATGGCTCCATCCCATTCCAGAAGGCAGCACACTGGCCTTGCACTTACACACAGAGAACTTTATTTCTTATCTGTTTTCCTGTTAAGATCAAAATCCTGAAAGGCATGACCTATGTTATTTACTTTTGTGTTCCTGGCAAAATGCATGGCAGACAAATATTTCCTGAATGAATTCGTCAACTATTTTCACACCTGAAAAACTTCCAATAACCTTCAGAGCCTACCTGGTTTCCCATCTGTAAGTCAGACAATATCTTATATTGCCATTACCGCTCTCTAAATGCCTACTGGATACTGAGTTCTAGTTCTATTTTGATGGGCTGTGACAAAATTACAAAAAGACATTGAGAATGCAGTGAAGTCATTCTCCCTGGACCTTAGTTTCTAGGTTTCCTCATCTATAGATTTGGAATTCCAAGAGTAGTTACTTCTCAGGCTGGTGTGAGTATTAGAGGGCTTAGTATGTGCAAAGCACCAAGAGTGGTGGCGTGCCTGGTACACCATAAGCCCTCAGTGAGCGTGAACAATTATTATACTGACTGAAGATCTTAGACTGCCAAAGCTGAGGGAGAAAAAACCAACAGCACACAAATCTAAGTGGCTTCTCTTTTATTCATACAAACAATACATACACAAGACTGTATATTGTTTGAAGACTGAAATAATTTTCTAGTGTAACAACTCCGTAACAAAATTTAACTAAATGTAACATTTATGAAAATATAAATCTCTGATTGGGTAATTCTTCCCAACAATACAAAGTTTACATAAAAACATTCAATATGAGCTACCAGTTGCAAACAAGTTAGGAAAAAAATCATTCAAGTCACTGTTACACTCTATTGGCTTCTACATAGAACATTCACACACTACGTTTAGTCCATCTAGGCATTTAATTATTAGAAATGTGTGGCATAGAGGTTGACTTGATAATGAGAGGAGTAAGAATATGCCGCCTAAAGATCTCTAAAGCTCTGACCCGGCACCATCAACTTCACGTGATCTGTTTGTGGGTGGCCGACTCTGAGCTATCGCTTCCCTGACTGGTAGCTGGACCAGGAGGAACCATACTGCAAAATGTTTTTCACCCCAAAGTGGGGTGTTTATAACTGAATCACATCTTTGTAGGCTTACGTGTTAAACTGCTTTCCAAAGTGAAATACAATTGACTTGGATTCTCTGTGGTTTAGATCACTTTATTTTAACCATAAGCATCAATAATCAAGATGTCATAGTATTTTTTTCTCACATTGCTGTCCAATTTCCCTAGGAGGGCTATAGCAGTAGCTACTACTACCTATATTCTGAAATTGATGAAAAGGATACACGGGGGAGGTTGAAGATCTGTCTAGGGATGCATGGCGAGCTCATGGCGGAGCTGGACTGAACGACTGAGTGCAAGTCAGTTCTGCATGTGTTATTCTGACTACTAAAGCCAGTACTGCCACTTTCAAAGAAAACCAAACCATCCCCCGTGACACCTTCTGAAAAGCTGTCCAAGGACATGCCACGTGGAAGGTATGGAAGGAAGGACACTCGCTTTCACCTTTCCAGATGTAATATTTTCTTTTAAATAGGTGAAGTAGTTTTTAAAAAATATTGAAATACCATTTCACAGCTTCTGCTTTGAAACGGATTAATACTATAAAAGGCTCAGAGGAGTCCTCAGTCCGGGAGTGACAGATAAAGAATGTACATACGGTGTGGAGAAGTAAGAAATTGATTACAAACAGGGACAGTAAAGAACCTTTGAACACCCTTAAGATTTATAGACTATTTTAGCACAAAGACAGGCATAGTCAGTTTGTCCCAGAGTATTTGGTCATCTATCTGCATTTTACACAGGAAAGAGGAGGAATAAGAGTAAGGCAAATGTCACCAGCATCTCAGAGATGGCATGTTGAGAAAGCTTGCTTTCTATTAAGATTAACTGCAGGGATTTAGAAAATAATTTTCCATACAACTGACTGAGTAGTACAGACTTTTGTTGGTACAATGATAGAAGTGAACAGGTGTTTTGAGCAGATTCGTAATGCCCTTTCTGTCACTTTTTACACCCAGCACAAATATGCATTTCAAAAAGATGTGAAAAGATTGTGGCTTCTTAGTAAATGTGTCCTTTTGCAACCCAGGAAATGAATAGTTTAAAAATCATATATTCTGTTATGCAGAAACCTTTGCATGCAGTTGTTGCAACTGTATTTTAACAAAGACTGACCCTCCGTGATCAGTAGCCCTATGACAGTGGTGGTGACTTCCTGTCCCAATCTAGTTCATCATCTCATATTTCATGTCGTGTTTCTTAGGAAACTGGGAATGCATCTGGGCATTTTTGTTACGTTATTTTGCACCTTTAGACCTTTCTTCTGCAGACTAGATGGCACAGTTGTTGGGATTGTAAAATGGAAAGAGAGATTAAGGCTATGTTGACACATCACACAATCATCGGAAGCCAAACAGCTTGTTGTCTTCATGATTTCAGCAGATCCTGTAGAACTAATTCCAGTCCAAATGGTCGATATGGTATATAATTCCAGCCTCTTTCATCTGAACCAAATGGGACGAATCATACTGCTTCTTACCATAATGCGAATTAAAAACTTTTATCTTCTCTCTTCCAGGTGAGCTTGCTGATCAAATGCTACTAGAAATACTGTTATTCTTTCATTTCTGGAGACACTTTGACAAAAAGACTACACCCCAAATCAATTCCATATTTTTGTATGTTTCATGAGCATCTTAATAAAACTCTGAAATTCCATCATCTTTCCTGTCTTTTAAGAAATGGATATTTTTATTATTTGGGACACATCTTTTTTTTGTTTTCCCTTCTGTATGTGGGTCACATATTTCTGCTGAGCAGGACAAACAGTTTGTCAGTTATCAGGGGCATAGCTGTGGCCCCTGGATTCTAGGGCTGAGCACACGCGGTCGTAACAGGAGTTGTATTTCTTGGAGGGCGTGGCCTCACTGTTCTCTGTGCAGTCAGTCACTGTGATGGGGCTGTCCCTGGCAAAGACCTCAGTGGACTCTCTCCATAAACAATCCACAGACACTTTGAAACAGTAACTGTTAGTCTTTGGCCTGGATGTCTGTGTTGCATTGTTGAAAATCTGTCTGCTATTTGAGGTGGCGATTTTAATTTTCAGTGCAGCGTCCACGCGGTCTACTACTGTATAGATGCCTATGCTCCCATCGTCAAAGCCCACAATAATGTGCAGGTGCCTCTGAGAGAGTGCAAGGAAGGTTGGTGTTTTGTAAAGGGAACAAGCACCGATATTTTTGCCATCTGCCAGTCTCATCACTATTAAACTGGATATGGCACCATTTTCATCCTCTTCTTCCCCATTTCGGAAACAAATGTACACCAGGTAGCGACCATCTCGAGACAACCTCTGCCGCCAGATGGTGCCAGAGGCGTGAACCACCCGTAATTTACCACTATGCAAATCCAGCACGTTGATGTTTTCATCTCCCCTGGATATAATGCCCAGCTTTCCATTGGGAGAAATTTCAAAATCCTCCAGGTTTTTCAAGAAGTTGCTGGGAAGTTGCACGCGCCGACAGATCACTTCATCCGTCAGACTCCACAGGTTCACGGTCTCCGCTGACGTGATGAACACAACGATGTCGGGACAGTCGGGGATTAATTTAAAATTCACAATGGTGGTCCCGTCTTCACAGCAAAACTTCTTGGTGATACTTCCGGTCCAGAGACTGACTGCCAACACTTTGCTTTTCGTCATGCCCACGACAAAGGTGTTTGCAGACGTGATGAAGGCATTCTGTAGAGTGGTCAGAATGTTGCAGACCCTGTGGCCTGTGGCCAGTCTCCAAACCCTGGAGGCATTTTCCTCACAGAGAGAGACCACAAACTGGTCATTGTGTGTAATCAGCAGCTGAGATATTCTCTGCCCGTTAATTCTAAAGAGGTTTTCCCCGCTGCCAGTGTGCCAGACATACTGGCTGCTTTTGTCATCCGATGTCACCATTATGTCCCCGGCAGATGTTAAGACACAGTGTTCCACTATGCCTTCGTGCTTGAATACTGCTTCGATGAACCCGCTGCTGAAGTTCCACTTATGAACACAATCGGAGCCATCTAGGGAGTAAATGATTTCCCCTCTGGCAGGCAATACCAGACTCTGGATGGGTTTTCCAGTCTTATCTATGTTGGACATGGCTGTGATTATATCTATGTCCCAGATGGAGAGGACACCACTGGTTGATAAAGACAGTAGCATATTGTGGTGACTAGATTTCACCAACTTAACTATGGAACCTGAGATTTCCTGTAGGCTAGCCATACACTGCCCCGTGTCTCGCCTCCAAAAAAACACAGCTGAGGTATTTTCCATGGTCGCAATGATACAGTCTCCGTTTTTGGATAGCACGGCAGATATAAAGCGTTCATTGTGCTTGGCCCTGAACTTCTCAGCCACTTTCCACATGCCTGTGTCTAAGAGCTCGATGCTGAGAGCTTTACAGATCAGAATTGCACTTTGGTCCTCTGAAAGTTCAATGCTAACCACGTCACTGTCTTCTCTCCGGCAGTCAAAGTCATCAGTCAGCTGGGGGCTGGCAATGTCCTCAGTGTTCCAAACAGAAAGACTTCCCTCGCTATCTACCATAACCATTTCTTGAGCTGTGTCCAGGATAAGAAGAAACTTCACAAACCCACCTGAGAATTCTGATGCCACTGTACATAACTTTTCTCCACTTCCTAAATGGAATATGGTGGTCGTGTTTAGGTACTGTCCACAGAAAGCATACAAACCATCCAGAGAGCACTGGACACATGTCACTTCGTACCAGCAGTGGAACTGGTAAAGCGGCCAGCCATAAAGCAGGTCGATGACTGTGACATCTTTGCTGGCCTCCAGCCAGGCAAGGGCGTGCTTGACGGACAGTGTGAAGCCATTGATGTAGGTGGGGCTGCTTGCAAGCTTGGTCCCTTTGATTTCCACTTCTGACAAAAGACAAGAATTCACGTTGTCATAGATCAGCAGGGTGTTATTTGTCGTAGCCACCACCAGGTACTTTTCATCTCCAGTGAGTTTCATGCCCAGGATGACAGACTGGGCTGTGGTGATTTGCCTGAGCAGCTGGCGAGTCTCTACGTCCCACGTGCTGATGGAACCGTTTTCTAAAGCCGTGAGGACGGTACTGGGGTTACAAGTAGGCAGAATCTCCGTGACATGCAGGTGACTGGATGACAAGGGAAGGCGCTCGGGGCTGTACGTGACATCCATGGATGAATGCAGTGGTACAATGGAGCAGTATTTTGGCCCATCTTTGTCACATTCTAAAAGAAGGTGTCTCAGTTTGGGCAGAGAACTTATAACAGGCAGCAGTCTTTGTTGGAGCTCTGCAGAAAGGGAGCCAGGAAACGCAATGACCTTGTTTCTGATGCCACGGAGGGTGCTGGCCAGGAACTTCAGCTCTTTCTCTTGAGAGTAGTTGTAAGCCAGCTCGATGTCTGAAAGCACTTTGTCGAACTGGCCAATTTTGATCATGGTGTAAAGCCAGCTGAAGTTCATGATGATGCCGTAGAGCAGGTCGTCGGTTTTCCCACACCTCGTCAGGTGGTACAGCAGCTCAGACATTTTCCGATGATTGACAAAAAAGATATCGGGCTCCAATGGATTACACTGGAAGACCCAGGGTTGGTCTGGGGCCTGCCTGTCAAAGGAAGCTTGTTCCATGAAGTGCTTTTCTTCCTCCAGGAGGCTTCTGCTCTCCAAGTCCAGGCAGCCATTCAAGTAGGAGTCTTCAAGGCAGAAAGCTTTCCTCCTGCCCCCTGACCAGACGCCCAGAAAATAGTCTGCCAAGATGGTGTGCATTTCACGCAGGTGACTGTCGTCTTGCAGATAGAGCTTTTGGGCTATGAGCTGCAGGTGTCTGTTGGCCCAGACCAGGAGCGTGACATTCTTCACATGTCTTTCTATTAAGTATCCACTGAGACCCTCCTTGAGTCTCGCGATGTACAAATAAGGGACTCTCAGGGGGTTGCTGGGCCTGGTGTTCTCACTGAGCTCGTTCATTACACTGTTGTCCAGGGCTAACACATCTTCCAGCTCCATTTCACTCAAACCCATTTTGGCCATGGTGATGTACCCAAGAGCCCTGGAGACCAGCTTCTGACCACACTTCTTCTCCAAGGACCAGAACAACTGCTCTATACTTTCATGAACAGTGACGCAGAGGGAGGATTCATCGACATCTTTGTGAGATCTCCAGTGTCTCACCTCCCTGAAGGTAAGGTTCACAAACATTGGCAGCGTGCACTTGGAGAATGCGTTGTTCACATAAATCTGCTGGCCTGAAGTGACCTTTCTTTTGACTCGAAGCAGCTGATGCTTGAGGACCTGGCTGCACATCTTTCTGTCCCGGGGAATCAGCTCAATGTAGTTGTCTTCCTCATGGATAAGGCACCTTAGTTTCTGCAGGATCCCGTGTTTGTTGGGCAGTGTGGACAGAACTATTCGTACAAAGCGGGGAAGGTGAGCTGGGAGCCACCAGAGCTTCCTGGCTTCCTCGTTCTCTGACAGCTGCTCTAGGGCATCGAATATGATGACTAGAGGTCTCTGCAATGAAGACTCATTCAGAAGGTTTATAAATAAGTCACGGAGGTCGTGAATCTTCTTAGGGTAGCTTTGAACCAGACACCGATAGTTAATCGCCAATTGTTCACAAACACTCAGAAGGAGAGTCCTCAGGTCAGTACTCATGTCTGTTGTTCCTAGAAATCTCACGACTATTACTGGGTCAGATTCTGGTCCCGTGTCTTCATGTAACCAGCCATAAGCCTGCAACATAAAAATGGAGTATAGATAAACAGCTGCATGCCCACATGAGAGAAAAACACAATTAAATTCGATGAAGGGGGAGGGAGGAGAGGGAAAAGGGAAAGACAAGGAGGGAGGAGGAGTCATGTGCTCTCACCTAATGGGCACGATGTATATACCACACCCCCTGGGTGAATGGCTCAACTACAACTTGAACTTTACCTTACAAATGCAAACAAAGTAACCTCATCATTTGAACTCTCATATTAATCTGAAATTTAAAAAACAAAAGTGGAATTTACGATGCTAAAATGTATTTACATGGTCATGTACAATAACATTTCCTCTCTCCAGAGCTCAGACTTCTGGTAACCCCCACCATGCAGAAAGTAACCTACAACCAAGAAATGGGAAAATCTGAGAAGGCCACAGAATGGCCACAAAGTTTATTTACTCTAATCTATAGGTGAGATCTTCAGGATTATCCTTACTGAAGGTGGTAAAATAGTGGTAACAGTATTATTTGATTATAAGGAAACATTTAGCATATATTCTAAAAGATTCAAAACATTTTGTAAACTATAAATCCAAATATCTAGGGTGGTCAATTTGGCATCACTGAACTGAACGCCTATTTCCTGGCACAGCTACTGGCACATAGTAGGAGCTTTTTATTTATTTATTTTTGAGATAGAGTCTCACTCTGTTGCCCTGAGTAGAGTGCTGTGGCATCATAGCTCACAGCAATGTCAAACTCTTGGGCTCAAGCAATCCTCCCAAGTAGCTGGGACTACAGGTGCCTGCTAATTTTTAGAGATTAGGGGAGATTTTAATTTTTAGGGATCTTTTTTAGAGATTTTAATTTTTAGGGATCTCACTCTTGCTCAGGTTGGTCTTGAGCTCCTGAGCTCAAGCCATCTACCTGCCTCATCTTCTCAGAGTAGAAGCTTTTTAAAATGAAGGAATTGAGTAATGATTTACACATTATATTGAGTTAAAGATTTTCATTAATTGAAAGCATATAACACCATAAGTGGCTGACTAAATTTCCAATTCATTAGAATGCAATAAAAATATTCAGTACTAAAATTGTATTGAATATAATCTTTTATGTTTTAGAGAATTTTTACTTTATTGTGGTGTTAGAGAACCATAGTTATTATTATTTATCTTTGTCATAAAATATACATAATGCTGGTTAACAGTTTGGTTAAACGTTGTGTTTTATAAGAGATGGTTCATTATACATATAAATGTGCCATCCTCGGTGCTCACATGATCTTTCTAAAAACGGGGTTACAGTATCATTTAATAGAGGAGGAAATTGAGGCCCAGGCTGGATAAATAACTTGCTGAGAGAGCAGTGGTCACCAAGAGATGAAGTTGGGCTAGAAGACATATCTTTCTTTTTTGAGACAGAGCCTCAAGCTATCCCCCTGGGTAGAGTGCCGTGGCATCACAGCTCGCAGCAACCTCCAACTCCTGGGCTCAAGCGAGTCTCCTGCCTCCGCCTCCCAAGTAGCTGGGACCACAGGCGCCCGCCACAATGCCCTGGCTATTTTTTGGTTGCAGCCATCATTGTTGTTTGGTGGGCCCGGGCTGGATTTGAACCCGCCACCTTAGGCTGGAGCCTTAGCCACTTGAGCCACAGGCACTGAGCCAGAAGACATATCTTTCATGTTAAGTACTTTTTAATTTTTTGTTTAACTTGTGAAAAACTACAGAGATAAAATATATAAGAGGGCTATTAAGTTTAGTATTTTTCTGTCTGGAAAGGCAAGAATGAGGAGGAATATACTCAAAGTATAAAACGCAACAAAGAGTATTCTTACTTTTCCAGTAATCATTGAAATGTACCGAGGATACTCCTTAGAAAAGGAAGTTTTATTTTACACATTAGCAAGCAAGTTTATGAAATTTGCTTCTTCAAGAGATAGTTCAGGTTAAGGCATGAATAAGATTAGGAAAGATTTATGGATGTCAGTTTCATAACCAGCTATTAAGGAAAGTATTTTGTTGTTCTTTAGCTACAGTCTTTAAAACTGATTTCTAGGAAGATAATCTTGTCATTGAAGGCAAATCAGAAAACTCATTTGTCTCTTCTTACATCGATCACTTATGATGATTGTAAGCATGCTCCCCCCGCCTCCCAATCACACGTGGCGGATGGGTTGTCTGTAGAGAGCAGGCCTGTCATCAGGATGTCATGTTTGTGGGAAGGTTGAGTTACACAGGAGATGAACATGAGAGGTCTGGCTGCATGTGTGGGGGGACGTGAGGTCACAGCAGTGTACATTCCCCAGGGGACAGGCAAGTGAAGCACTGGGAAGAGTCCCAGAAATGGGTACCACTTCCTGGGGGCCCAGAATCCTGGACTGTCAGTAGACAGACTCAGGTGAGTGAACGAAATACCCAGGAGAGGGAGAGCTCAGAAAATCATCTCTGATGTTGATCAAGTCCCGACCAGCCCCACACTCTGCCTTGCCAGGACTGCCTATCTGCACAGGGGTATCCGTACCACTCGTGTGACCCTGACCTGCTGTGCTCGGGCAGGTGCACATGTGTCCCACGAACCTTCCACTCAGTCAAATTCGACAATATTTGTTTTCTCCAACTGCCCTTATCTTTCCCTCCTCCAGAGAGTGAGTGTGAAATGGTGATTCTCAACCTTCCTAATGGTGTGATGTATTTTCATAGTTACAAAGGCATCGTGACCCACAGGTTGAGAACCGCTGGTGTACAGGAATGGTTCCTCATTTGATTTCAGTTCACATGTGGCCCTCATTGTGTTACTGTTTTCCTTACTTGAAGACACACGTACAAATGAGTGTTCAAGGACACTCACATACACAGTTTTGCTGGTGCAAACCCGCTACTTCATCTGATGCTCAGAGAAAAATAGGTACCACTATTCTAACCCAAGAATCAAAGCCATCTGGGCTTGACATATTAAGAAAAGATAAATTAGCCTTCCTAAGGACTTTTCAAGGGTAAATTAGATATACTTGATTTTCACCTGTGAGATTACTTCAGACCATCCTTTCCACATTTTATACAATGCACCTGTCTCTGTTCTTGACCTCAAAATGACCAATTGAGATTATGTAGTGTGACAGATTATGAGAATATTCATAAACTTAAACATAGCTCTGTTCTTAAGATAGTAACTAACCATGGGAAGAACATCAAGATAACACCAGAATAAACCACCAGACTTTGACACTAAGGAAACAGGAGTTTAAAAACTAGAACTAGTTCCATCCAGTTCAGGCTAAGGAACCAAGTTAGTAGACAGCACATTCCAAAGTGAGGTTCTAGACCACGACCCGGGACTTGAAAGGGAGGTTCTGAAAGCCAGTTCTGCTGCTAAGAGGGCAACCTACCTCTGGCCTGAAAAAGGAGACAGGAGAGGTGAGATTTTGGAGCTGTGGGTTATACTTCTTATCACCTCTTCCCCAACCTTCATCCCTAGCTGACAGGAAGGAGCTTTAGCGGCCACTTATAGAGTGGCCCATACAGCACGGGGGATGTGGGCATCTGGTGTCCCACGACATCTGGGAAGTGTGCAGGTTGAGCAACTGAGGCTGGGTGGCTGCTCCAATGGGGGAGCAAGGCAGGGCTGGTGTCTGGGATGGGCCTGGAGGTCTAGAGTTTCTCAGGGCAAAATGATACTTGAGTGTTTCCCCTGTACCAGAGTGGGCTGTAGGCCAGAGTGGGCTGCCGGCCAGAGTGGGCTGCCAAGTGTCTCTGTTTCACTTTTCCCAGGCCCTAAGAGTGTACTGGGCCATGGAGAGAGTCTTAGCAGAAGGACAGATGCTGGAAGTGTATTTCTGGAGGTCTAGGAGCTGAGGAAGTACCAGCTGGAGCAAAGATAGCTTTCCCTGAGTCCAGGGAACTATAGATGAGTGATTCTCAGGGAGGAGACAGAGGAGGGGGCCGGGGTGGGGAAGGACCTGCTGGGAATCATTAAAAGGCCTCAGAAGAGAAGGGAGTTGGAGCTAAACACTTGCTAAGAACAAAAAGTTCAGAGTCCAGTTCAGAAAAGTAAGAACGTTCTGGCCACTTGATCCTATATCCCCTAAACCACAACACTCTAGGACAGCAGTTCTCAACCTGTGGGTCACGACCCACAGGAACTGTATTAAAGGTCTGTGGCACTGGGAAGGTTGAGAACCACTGCTCTAGGGATAATATATGTGGCTTGGTTAGGAAAGGAGGGAGGACATGCTCCAAGAAAAACGGAAGAAGATGCCCATGTCCCCATGTCCCTATTTCCACTGTAGGCACCTTCCTTATAGCAGGTCACAGCGAAGGGGGAAAAGTGTAGACTGACTGTTTTATTTATTATTCTTATATGGATAATTGCTGAACTGAGACTGATTTAGTGACTGGAAGTGAGGGGAGGGCTTGTCCTTGTCTGAGAGGAATGAGCAGAGGTATTGGGATCTGCCCTGCTATTCACCCAACTGCACGGGCAGCCAGCCTACAGCAGAACCAGACAGTGAGAGGAAAAATAAAGCTGCTTTCAAGCCCAGCCCATGAGTCTGGAGCTCTGCATCGAACCATTATACCCACGAAAAAGAAGCACTGAAGTAACCCTTCCACAAAGACTAATTATAATTCAGGTAGTAAACAAAGAAAACGGAAGTGAATCTGATCAATCTAGCATTTTCCCAAAGTAAAAGCTTTTACAATTATGCATGGGAAAGAACGGGCTTTTACCTTCTTTGCTACTTCTGCTAACAGAAGGGTCTTCCCGGTGCACGGTCCACCATATACAATAAGAGGGTTGATGTGCCCGGTTTTGCTTGGAAGGATATATTTATGCACTATGTTTAGAGATTCACATTTGTACTCATAGAAGGAGGCATATGTTTTACACAATGACGAATGTTGAAGGATTTCATCGTAGAGCGTATCAGTTTCAGTGTCAAAATTCTGCTGTACCGTTGCCTGAATGATATCAATCATATCTTCATAAAATTGTTTGCCAAGTCCTTCGATGTAATGATTTTCTATTTCTTGGGAATAGCCTAGTTTCATGTCACAATGAGTAACAGACGTGTACACTCTCAGATTAGATGATGCGACAATAGTAGGAATAAATTCATCCCTGAGTTTTATCAGCTTCTCTTGGGCTTCTGGGTCCCGAATAATCCTTGGTTCTGTTCCAGTGATATCCATGTACTTCCCCATCTCTGGGATTTTCACGAAGCGCTCGATGTTAGCAATTTTCCTGATGTAGCAAACACACTTCTTCAGGAATGCTGGTGTTTGCTTTCCTAGAGCAAAGTCAAACTCATCCTCTATAGCTGAAAGAAAATAAGATTAGGAGTTTACTGCTTGGCACAGAGGAGCAATGCACCCACGTTCTCAATGCTCAACCTTCAGTTGCGAGTGGTTTATTATTTTGCTCATCATTTGTAGCAAAGTAGTTTTTAGAATAATTTCCTAATTCCTTGTTTTTTCCTAAGTAGCCTCCAGAACAATCAGTATCAAATAAAATTATTTAATTTTCTCCCCAATCTAGGGAGAGGCTGGATGCCAGTGCAATACAGAAAACAGCATGTTTATAGTGGGCCTTCGTTTGCTGCTAGCTTTGCTCTCATAGTCTACTGGTTCTCACAGCAGGGACCAGTTTGGGTCAGGAGAGTAAGAGGAGGTAGCTGAATGCTGTAGCTAGTTTAATTGTTCCTGGTCAGTCTGCTCTTGAAAATGTGGTTTCATCATTTTGTTGGTGGTGTATTGAGCCCTAGACAGATATGTTCAAATGGAAACACAAAAGCACGTTTTAAGGCAAAACGCGATCATGTTCTGATTTCTGATCAGTCTGGATGACCTACATCCCTGTTAGATCCCATTATATTCATCAGAATGGGCACAGAAAAATCACTTAATGTATGACTTTATTTCTTCTAAAACAAACCATATGATGAGTTACAATATATATGCTTGCATAGAAGTGAATATACATTATATATCATTTGAGTCCTTTTAAGAACATTTAAAACTGGAGAAGTAAAAATGAAAATATCCTGGCTCAGCGCCTATAGCTCAATCGGCTAGGGCGCCAGCCACGTACACCTAAGGTGGTGGGTTCGAATCCCCAGCCCGGACCCGCCAAACAACAATGACGGCTGCAACCAAAACCAAAAAATAGCCGGGCGTTGTGGCGGGCGCCTGTGGTCCCAGCTACTTGGGAGGCGGAGGCAGGAGACTCGCTTGAGCCCAGGAGTTGGAGGTTGCTGTGAGCTGTAATGCCACGGCACTCTGCCCAGGGGGACAGCTTGAGGCTCTGTCTCAAAAAAAAAAAAAAAAAGAAAATATCCTTGTGCAGAGAAGAAAATTAAAAATAAAATAATTGAACCAAAAGGAAAGAAATTTAAACGCAAGCAGACTTTTTTTTTTTTTTTTGAGACAGAGTCTCATTTTGTTGCCCTCGGTAGAGTGCTGTGGTATCACAGTTCACAGCAACCTCAAACTCTTGGGCTTAAGCAATTCTCTTGCCTCAGCCTCCCAAGTAGCTGGGACTACAGGTGCCCACAACAGCACCCAGCTATTATTTTTTGGTGCAATTGTCATTGTTGTTTGGCAGGCCCAGGTTGGGTTCAAACCCACCAGCTCCAGTGTATATGGCTGGCACCCTAGCTGGTGAGCTACAGGTGCCGAGCCAGGCAAGCAGACTTTAAAAATTGGCTGGCTATCCTTCCTTCCCTGATTCCTCTCTTTCTCCCTCCCTCCCCTCTATCCTTCCTTTCATTTGTCCAACGGGGTCTTTGTGGAGTACCTACTATGTGCCAGGCATGCTGGTAGTCACTTGGGATGCATTGGTGAGAGAAAACAGACAGTGCTGAGGGAAAAAGCCATTATGGAGTACTGTAGATTGAATGTTTGGTCTCCCCCAAATACATATGTTGAAACTTAATCACCAGTGTGACGGTATTAGGAGGTGGGATAGTTGGGAGCCCTCATGACTACAAGTAGTACTGGAAGCCCTACTTGTCTCTCCTGCCATATGAGAGACAGCACAAAGATAGCTGTCTGTTAACAAGAAGCCAGCCCACACGAGTTACCAAATCTGCAGGTGCCTGGATCTCAGGCTGTGAATTTCTACAGGGAAGCTCTGAATACGTTGGGCTTGTCTGCCCATAAAATGAAAAAGAATTCTATGCTGGACACAACACTAACATCAAGCAAAACCCAGAACTCACATACAGATGTTCTATCATGTAGTCATTCAGGAAGGTGAGAATTTTACTAAAAATAGTACCTTTCAGTAGAACTCCTATGATAATTATTTTTTCAGTAACGATAGACACTGATTGAAAATTTTGACTCCTGCTGGGTGCAGTGGCTTATACCTGCAATCCCAGTACTCTGGGAGGCTGAGGCTGGTGGATTGCTTGAGCTCAGGAGTTTGAGACCAGCTTGAGCAAGAGTGTGACCTTGTCTTAAAAAAAAAAGTAAGGCAGCGCCTGTGGCTCAAAGGAGTGGGGCGCTGGCCCCATGTACTGCAGGTGGTAGGTTCAAACCAGCCCCTGGCCAAAAACTGCAAAATAAATAAATAAATAAATAAATAGCTGGGCATTGTGTGGGGGGGGGTGTGCACCTGTAGTTCCAACTACTTGTGAGGCTGAGGCAAGAGAATCACTTAAGTCCAAGAGTTTGAGGCTGCTGTGAGCTATGACTCTACAGCACTCTACTGGGGGGCAAGAAAGTGAGACTCTGTCTCAAAAAAAGAAAAAAAAACAATTTTTTTTGACTCCAGTGAAAAAGATGTTTACAGCCACTAATTTTCACTGAGCTGTGTCATATGTGTCAGTACATTTTTACAAAGGGTTTAATCAGGTGAGTTGTTCAAGGAAGACAGGTAAAGGAGTTTATATAACATTTGTCTACTCTTCTCAAAGAAGAGTGAAAACTTGTTATAACACAGAGCAGGGAAGATGCAGGAAGTCAGGACATCACGAGCTCCTGCAGAGGATGTCCTTGGGCCCATCGCTTTTCTACTGAATTCTCAGAACGTGACATTCTGAGAACATCATGAAGAGAAAGTGGTCAAACTCTAGTCTCTCTACAGAATGTCTGATAATCAGAGGCATGTGCTCCCACACTGCACTCCTAGAAAATAGCTGTACTGGAACTGCCATGTTTTCACCTCCATGGAAGGAGTGCCAATCAGGAATGCTGATTACAAACAGGAAGAGATGGATACATCAAGTTGGCAGCGCCCATCTAAGTTTGGCTCAGGTGGGAAAAAGATGCTGTACACAGGTTTGGTGCCCATAGCACAGTGGTCACAGGGCCAGCCACATGAACTTGGCCTGGGCCTGCTAAACAACTGCAACAACAACAACAACAACAAAAATAGCCAGGTGTTGTGGCGGGCGCCTGTAGTTTCAGCTACTTGGGAGGCTGAGGCAAGAGAATCACTTAAGCCCAAGAGTTGGAGGTTGCTGTGAGCTGTGATGCCACAGCCCTCTACCCAGGGTGACATAGTGAGACTCTGTCTCAAAAAAAAAAAAAAAGATACTGTCCACAGAATGCCAGGTATGGTACAGACATAATAAACACACCTGAATAAATGAATGACATTATAGAAAGTCAATTCTACAGAGTTATTTTAGAGGCAAGGTGCACCATGATGATTTGGGTGAACTTTTATTCATAATTTCTGATATTTGTCTACGAATATTATAAACTTTCCCCTCTCCTTACTAGAATCCTGCATTTGTTTTCTGTCTTTGTTCGTTCCTCAATATCCCCAAATTTAACCAGTCACAGCACCCAGTGAAGGGAGCATTAGGAATAGATTCTCAGCCCTGGTAGCTATCATCCATAAGACATTAATCTCTTTACTACCCTCAAGGCCACTCAATTTTGTTGTTCATATAAGGGTACCATTTTTGGAATCTAATTTATTTTTGTTCCTCTCCTATTGTTTCAAAAGGTAAAACTAGAAGTGTGAAAAATTACATTGAAATATAAATAATATAACTTTATAGGTTCTATCTAATATTCCTACTTTCAAGATCTCTAAAAATATTACAGTGATTTTCTCTATCCATTTGAAAGAGCTGGCACTTCTCCAGCAATTTTGATTGTTCAGATATGATCTTAAAATGAGTATGAAGTATAAAATAAATGGTTATGAGAACATATATATATATCTGTAGGGGATGTAACCCCAAGTACAAAGTAGTCCCCTTACAGCAGTTCATGTGAAATTGCCAACTTCACATGGCCGTCCATATGGACAGAATTCCTTAGCATGGAGAAAGTTAGGGGAAAGTATTTGCCAGTGAAACCTTAAACCACTTGAGGTACAAGATGGTGACTATGATAGGGTGACCAGATGTCCCGCTTTTGAACAATTTGTCCCGCGACCTGCGGCGTTTAAAAAAAGTCCCGATTTTTGGAAAGAATGCACAAACGGGCGGGAGAACAGGAAGGGAATATACGGTTTTTAGCTGCCATGTGGCTATTTTGCCAGAATGTGAGTTTTATATTATTTTTGTTAATTTTATAATGTTAAACTGTAATAATAACAAATAATTTCCAAGAAGTGATTATCCAGAACTGCTTATCAAAGTTTGCATTGTTGTCAGGCCCTGCCCTGCCCCGCCCCCGCCCCCCCCAGCCATGTTGTCCCGCCTGATCACCCTAGACTGTGAGGATTCTTTCCCCAAACTAGCGTCTTTTACATAACAAATAGAAGAGCTTTGCTCTGGGCATTTTTTCTAAGATAGGGCTTTTTAAGGAATGGAGTTATTTTGTCCTTGATAAAAAATGAAAGAGCCAGAGCCTCAAAAAAAGATGTAAAGGTCTCAGAGGAACAAGGATGCATGTTAATCTAATACTCTAAAGATAGGACTTAGGGCTGACAATTTTAAGAGTATTTTCAGGGAGACTTAAAATAAGACCTAACTTAAAAAAAATTTTTAAGGCCTGATTTTTTTGATAGCTTCCTTCTGAAATTTGTCACAATGATTTCCAGCTTCCTTGCACTTGACACACGCAAATCCAGTGAGAATGGTTATCCAGTACCTTGTAGGCTTTCAAAAAGCCTTGCCATGCCATTCCAAAAACCATTTTGAAGACACAATTACTATTGCTTTTTCCTCAATAATTCCTTTTTTCCGGAGACAGAGTCTCACTTTGTTACCCTGGGTAGAGTGGTGTGGTGACATAGCTCACAGCAACCTCAAACTCTAGGGCTCAAGCGATCCTCTTGCATCAACCTCCAGAGTAGCTGGGACTAAAGGTGCCCATCACAGTGCCAGGCTAATTTTAGAGATGGGAGTCTCCCTCTTGCTTAGGCAATCCACCCATCTTGGTCTCCTAGAGTGCTAGGATTACAGATATGAGTCTCTGTGCCTGGCCTGTCACTAATTCTTTACTATCAACTTTTTCTTTCTTTTGAGAGAGTCGCCCTGGGTAGAGCGCTATGGCGCCACAGCTCATAGCAACCTCAAACTCTTGGGCTTAAGTGATTCTCTTGCCTCAGCCTCCCAAGTAGCTGGGACTACAGGCACCTGCCACAACACCTGGCTTTGTGTTGTTGTTGTTGTAGTTGCACTTGTGATTGTCGTTTTAGCTGGCGGGGGCTGAGTTCAAACTTGCCAGCCTTGGTGTAGGTGGCCGGTGCTCTAGCCGCTGAGCTATGGGCGCTGAGCCTACCATCAACTTTCAAAATAAATTCTACACATCTTCTTGCTTTTACCCAGAAGTGTTTGTTCAGATCTCTGGTTTCCTGTACAACTTATAATAAAGCTTCATTTTCATGGAGGAGAAAGGCACCTGTAACTTGCTAAGCATGTTCCGTGTCAGGGGTCTTGAATGCGTTGATCTCTGTGCCTGGAATTCTCTACCTTAGATACAGATGGCGCTGATTCCTTCTGTCATTCAAGTCAAAAGTCACGTACTTATTGCCTCTCCTACTACACCTGGAGCTCCACATCCATCAGCACTCACTGCTATCCGATTTCTTTGGTTTATTTTATTCCTACGACGTACTATTCTGAAATGATTTCGTTCACTTACTTGATTACTTGCCTATCATTTATTCTGTACCCTCCCACATTTAAAAAATAATTTGCAATAGCATAGTGACTTTGCTTTCTTACTCATTTTTGTCTCTGCACTGCTTGGCACAGTGTAGGCCAATAGGCCAATCAATGTTTGCTGGATGAGTCAGTGGATAAATGAACAGCTCACCCAAGAAGCAATGGCGTGATCTGGCTTATGACATCCAGCCACCTCTGACTGCTTTTAAAAAATCCCTGAAGAAGCCCTCAAATTAAGTAAAGGTTTTCTATGAATTAAAACAAAAGAATACTTGCCTCTCTGGGACATGCACATATTTAGAAAAATTAAATCTCACCAGGCAGGAAATATCAACTACCATCTACCAACTACCATTAAATTTGCAGAACCGTAAATAAAAGGGAAGCAGTGGGTACAGCTGCCGTTTACCATCCCTCAGCTCACGGAGGCTGTGTGAAGATTACCTGAGAACAGGTATCTCTTTGCTTGGCTGTATTTCATTTTTCCCTTTTCATGTAATAGTTTCACAGCAGCCTTAAATATCTTCTTGATCTCATCTGATATCTCTTGCCACGTCTTCTCGTTTTCAGCATTGGCAGAAGGCTGCATCTATGGAAACATAAAAGTGAGAAATTGGTCTTAAACTCATCCATATTTAAGACAATGTAAAGAAAAACAATATTTAAGAACAAAAGGCGTTATTATTTGAAGGCCTCTGATGTGTCAGTATTATGAGAAGTGCTTCGCAAACAGTGCGTCATTGAATCTCCACCAATGACCCTGGAAGTTGGAAGCTACCTCCACGTTACATGCAGACTTGGCCAACTTACACAGGGTGGGACCCAAACAGGTTTTTTTTGTTGGGCTTCCCTATACCATGTTTTATCCTCAGGAGATTTGACACAAATGTCACAACAAAATAATCTCTTTAATATCCTCCAAAGAGGGGAGAAAGTTACAAGGGAGATACTCATAAATTTAGTTGCTGATTTGTTTTGCTGATCCTCTAGGAAACAACACAGGAGGGTTGCCTACCAAGGAAATGACCTTCATAGAATCTTGGTGATAATCCTAGCCACACATTCATTTATTCAGCAACAGTTTATACAGAAAATATCACTTTTATTTTTATATTTTATTAAATCATAGCTGTGTACATTAATAATTATGGGGTACAAAGTGCTGGTTTTATATACGATTTGATATACTTTCATCAAACTGGTTAACATAGCCTTCACGGCATTTTCTTAGTTATTGTGTTAGGATATTTATATTCTACCCTTAGTAGATTTAACATGTACCCTTGTGAAATGCACCGCACGTGGACTTTTACGAAGAATTTAAGTTTCTTTAGAGGATCACAGAAATAAATGACATAACAATGGAAGCCAATTAAATAGTAACATATGAACAAGTGCTCCCAAGGTACTGTGTAAGCTTGGTTTCTTGAGGTATCACGGGTTTTTTGCTATCCACATGTACTCCCAGCATGTTTAACTAGAGAATGGTTTGGATTTACCTTAATATTCCTTTTTTTTTTTTTTTTTTTTTGCAGTTTTTGGCTGGAGCTGGGTTTGAACCCGCCGCCTCCAGCATATGGGGCCAGTGCTTTACTTCTTTTTGAGTCACAGGCACTGCCCAGTATTTCTTTTTTTAAAATTAAAATTTTATTTTTTTTTAAGAGACAGTCTTACTTTGTCACCCTCGGTAGAGTGCTGTGGTGTCACAGCTCACAGCAACCTCCAGCTCTTGAGGTTAGGCGATTCTCTGGCCTCAGCCTCCCTAGTAGCTGGGACTACAGGCACCTGCCACAACGCCTGGCTATTTTTTTGTTGCAGTTTGGCCGGGGCCAGGTTTGAACCTGCCACCCTCAGTATGTGGTGTCTGAACCCTACTCACTGAGCCACAGGCACAGCCCATACCTTAGTATTCCCACCCAAGGAAGCATTATTCAATGACAGTTACTTTGAACAAGACATATGAAAGAGATGAAGAAAATCAAGGACTCTGATATACCGTGTTTCCCTGAAAATAAGACACTGTCTTATATTAATTTTTTTCTTAAGAAGACACACTAGGGCTTATTTTCAGGGGATGTCTTATTTTTATTAAGTATAATACAACAATCTACATTTATTCAAATATAGGAACCTGACCGAGGAGCCGACCTTGGTGGGGCTGGCGCTAGTGAACTCCTTTCCCCTAGCCATTTGCACGTGCACAATAGGATGCCTGCGACCATGGTTACCACCCGCATACTCACGCAAGTGCAAAGGGTTCAGAGAAAGGAGCTGTGCCAGGTAGTCCAGTCTTCCTTACCGCTCCATGCCAAAATGCATGCAGACACATCACTAGGTCTTATTATCAGGGTAGGGCTTATATTTAACAAATGCATAGAAATCCTGCTAGGCTTTGTTTTTTGGGTAGGTCTTATTTTCGGGGAAACACGGTATTTTCTTGCACAGAGAAAATGCTTTATGTTGGTTATCAGAAGAACAGATACACAAGTCCCGAAGTGAGGAACTGTGGCTAACCCATGGTTTCCCATGTTTTGGGGCTGCCAGAATGAAGGACGTTCTCTTTGAAAGAGGGATGAGTATTTCTTCCTTCCTGGCAATCTCTTTAAATATTCTATGTGATGAATAGGACCACCCTTCCCCTCTTCCTCTTTCATTCAGTTTTAGGGGACACATAGCATATGGGCTTGGCCAAGTTAGAGAGGAGACATGATAATGTTTCCATCACACTTGGGCATGAGCCATCCTCACTCCATGACTCTCCGTAACATACAGAACTTAAATTAACTGTTTGAAATGTTAAAAGGAAAAACAGTAAATTAAAAACCCACAAAAGAGACTATAAAAACAGCTAGGTAGATACTACAAAAAGACCCTTCCCTAAGCCCACTGCTCCCAACACCCTTCACAAAATAAAAAAATATTTAACTGTTGAACTTGAAAACTTAATATATTGGCAGAGTTAACACAGCCAGGGGGAAAAAATCAGTAAGCTAGAAAAATGATCTGAAGTAATCTGGCAAACAGCATAGTGAGATAAATAAATTGACAATGTGAAAGAGAATTAAGAGACGTGGAGGACAGACTAAGATGGTCTAATACACACATAATTAAGAAGAAAAAAGAACAGAAGGAATAGAGGAAAGATACTATTTGATGAGATGATGGCTGAGAATTTTCTAGAACCAACAGAATATATGAATTCAGAGAATTAGGAACTGAACATAGTGCCATCAGAATAAATAAATAGACACATTATAGAAAAGTGGAGAGAAGAAGAGTGTTTTCTGATAAACACCAAGAGAGCTTCATAAATAGAATTTCATTTAACCAATTAGTATTAATGAATTAATCATTTATTTAGTGAAATACCATTATTTGGTCAAATACCAATTATATGCTATTACTAAACATTAATATTAATGAATAAACAAGATACATATAATTAATTGGTTAACATCACTAATAAACCTACATTAATGGAACTTTTGAAAGATACACATACTTCATAAAGAAGAAAAATTACCCCAGAAAGAAAGTCAGAGACGCTAAAAGGAAAGGTGAGTCAACGTTTGGAAAGCTTTTCAGCTTTGGATTTAGTTTTTTCATTAAAATTTTCAACGCACACAATGCGATGTTTTGGGATACGTATACGTTGTGCAATGGCTACCACAGTCGAGCTAATTAACGAACTGTCCTCACGTAGTTGCCAGTTTGTTTTTTTTTTTGTAGTGAAGACCCCTGATAACTAGTCTCTTAGCCAATTTCAAGTACAGAACATATTCTTATTAACTATAGCCACCGTGCTCTATGTTAGGATCCCAGAACGCGTTCATCTAGAACAGGAAGTCTGTACGCTGTCACCCACGTGTCTCCAGTTCTTCCACCTTGCAGACCCTGGTAACCACCCTTGTACCTCTGCTACTATGAGTTTGGCTTTTTAGATTCCTCATATAAGGAGTAAGTGACACCATTCACTGTGTGTCTTTCTCCACCTGTCTGATTCACTTAGCATAAGGTCCTTCCGGTTCCTCCAGGTTGCTGCACAGGGCAGGCTGAGTGGTGCCCCGCTGCCTGTCGGGCCACAGTTTTCACCCGGGCACCCGCTGACGGTCACTTAGTTCCTGTTTACCTTTCCGCTATTGTAAATAATGCTGCAATGTCCATGTGAGTGCAGTTATCTCTTCAGGATAGTGATTTTATTGTCTTTGGATATATACCCAGAAGTGGGATTGCTGGATATGACAGCTCTACTTTTTAATCTTTTTTTTTTTTTTTGAGACAGAGCCTCAAGCTGTCCCCCTGGGTAGAGCCCTGTGACATCACAGCTCGCAGCAACCTCCAACTCCTAGGCTCAAGCGAGTCTCCTGCCTCCGCCTCCCAAGTAGCTGGGACCACAGGTGCCCGCCACAGCACCCAGCTATTTTTTGGTTGCAGCCATCATTGTTGTTTGGCCGGCCTGGGCTGGATTCGAACCCGCCACCTTAGGTGTATGTGGCTGGCGCCTTAGCCACTTGAGCCACAGGTGCCGAGCCTCTACTTTTTAATCTTGAGGGATTGCTATACTGTTTTTCATAGTGGCTACACAGTTTACAGTCCCACCAACGGGTACCAGGATCCCCTTTCCTCTATACCTTCACCTACATTTGTAATCTTTTGACTTTTTGATAGCCATCCAAACAGGTGTGAAATATATCTCATGGTTTTTTTTTTTTTTGCAGTTTTTGGCTGGGGCTGGGTTTGAACCTGCCCCCTCCAGCATATGGGACCAGCGCCCTACCCTTTTGAGCCGCAGGCACTGTCCCTCATAGTGGTTTTGATTTGCATTTCCCTAACAAACAAGTATGGATTTAGTCGTCAAAAGGAAATTATAGCCTAGGGTGGAGTCATTTTCTGTTGACTCTGGCTCTTCTGGGGAGAAAACCACCCTTGGATGACACATACTCAGGAGAAAGGCCACGTACCGTGTTCTTATTGCTTCTCAGCATTTCTGATCTGGGTCTGAGGTAATAAGCCGCGGGCACGGCGTTCTCATCCCGACAGTACCACTCTTCCAGCAGCTTGGTCTCCAGCTTGTCCTCGATGGCAGCATCCAGAATCATTTCGAACTCTGAGGCTTCCACTTCTCCGGGGATTCGGATGTTCCCATATTTTTCACCTAATAGTCCCTGTGTATCCACAAGAAAATTCAGTTTAGTGTATCACCAAAACAGTTCATTTTACTATTCACATTATGTGGCCATCCAATAAATGTTTATAAATACATAATAAGACACAGTGTTCTATTCCCTTTCTCTTTTCATCACAGTGGATACTTGACTTTTTTTTTTTCTTTTTGAGACAGAGACTCACTTTGCCACCCTTGGTAGAGTGCCATGGCGTCATAGCTCACAGTAATCTCTGACTCTTCGGCTGAAGCGATTCTCTTGCCTCAGCTCCCAAGTAGCTTAGCTGGGACTACAAATGCCTGCCCCAACACTCAGCTGTTTTTTTGAGATGGGGTCTTGCTCTTGCTCAGGCTGGTCTCGAACCTGTGAGCTCAGGCAATCCACCCGCCTCAGACTCCCAAGTGCTGGGATTATAGGCATGAGCCACCTTCCCCAGCCCGAGGATACTTGATTTCTTAAGTAAAGTTAGGTCAATTATGTTATAATTATCATCAATTATTTACACACTGAGAAATGAGATGATATACCACATTAGACAAATCCCAAGTACAGAATGTTTGTAGCAAATTTATCTTCTCAAAGTTTACCTGACACAACAAAAGCTCTTCCACTCTGACATGGGTTTGTGTCAAAGAAAAATGACATGCTGGGCCTCACAAAAGGCCCAACATGTAAAGTCGCAAACAAAAGACTTGCTCTGTCAAAACTTGATAGCGTAATTCTAAGCTTCAGGTAATTACAAAGGAAAGAAGGGTGATGCTACTGGTGGAATTAATCCAACTGAAAGGAAGGCAGAATATAAACAAGATAGAATTTTATCCCTATTAAATAGCGTCCCCCTGAAAAAACTCCCACAGAATCTCCACCACCGAGCGAACATATGCCAGTGTTACGTGAAGTGCTAAGAAAATAGCCGTCTAGTGCTGATGTGCAGGTCGCATGGTCTAGCATTTCTGGGAAAGACCTTTAGTTGGTTATGTATTAAAAGCCTTACAAATCTATATAACTTTTGACTTGGCATTTTTCCATCTGCGAATTTTGCAAATAATTAAGGATGTCCATAAAGATTTACCAGCATATGTATGCTGACCTCAGTTTTTAGAACAGGAAAGAATTGTGTTATGACCTAAATATCCATTCAAAGGATACACCAAATTATCTTATAGAACTGTATTGATGGAGAAAGATGTTTGCAAAGTATTAAGTGAAAGGTTAAGTTACAACCAGCATGTCTAAGATGAGTCCAATGTTTTATATATGCATATATATAAAGAGAGAGGATACTGCACAGAGCGTCATGCACACACAGACACACTTGGACACGTGATAGAGATGTCCAAGAACACGCAGTAAGGTTATGAATGGCTATCTTTGAGAGAGTGCTTTCTTTCTTTCTTTCTTTCTTTTTTGAGACAGAGTCTCACTATGTCACCCTTGGTAGAATGCCATAGTGTCACAGCTCATAGCAACCTCGAACTCTTGGGCTTGAGTGATTCTCTTGCCTCAGCCTCCCAGGTAGCTGGGAATACAGGCTACACACCGGGCTCTTTTTTGGTTGTAGTTGTCATTGTTGTTTGGTAGGAATGGGCCAGATTCAAACCCGCCAGCTCTGGTGTATGTGGCTGGCGCCCTAGCCGCTGAGCTACAGGCGCTGAGCCGGAGAGAGTGGTTTTAAATTCACTGAAGTCATTTCATGAATGTATTGCTTTTCTACTAAAAATGTTTTTTTGCAGTACATAAAGATTATTTGTATATGTATACGAATACGGAATATTTGTAATTATTTTGTGGTTTTTGTGCAAAACCCGGCAGGTACTGACACGTTTTAAACCTGGTGATGCTGCCTCCACTCCTGAAGCTGCACTTTGCAGGTTGCCGGCAATGTTTGCTTCAGCCAGTGGTTCTCAAAGTGTGGTCCTGGGAACTCGGCAGAGGCGCAAACTCTCCTGCCCATCTGGACCTACTGAAAAGGAAGCTCTTGTTTTATGGCTGAGCCATCTGTTTTAGCAAGCCCTCCAGGTGGCTGAGCTTCCTGTTTATGGCACCCGGTATTCCAGTTAATCTTCAACATATAGGAGGAACAAGGAAGGGGCACACGGGAGGCCTTACACACGTCTGTAGTAACGAAGGCAATTTTGTCCACTTTGTAGTGTCCACAGGAAGCTTTTGGTTTTATCTGCGGGGACCTTTGTCCTTCCTCTCATCGACTAGCCCCTTAGCATAAACATTAGGCCTTGCTTAGCCACTGGAATGAGAATTGCTGGTCTGGCTTTCCTAGAGGCCCCCCTTACTACCTCTGCTGCCAGCACTGTGGTGTCCACAGCATTCATCTCACCTGACACAAGCAGGTGGGAGACTAGGAGAAGTCCTTGGTAGATCAGTGTCCAGCATAAATTCTCTACCTAAACTCTACTACAAGACGGTGAGCTCCGTGAAGGCAAGGCCAGAGCTGCTTATTCCTAGCACATAGACAGTATTAAAAACATTTGTTGAATACATGATTGAACTGAGACCAAGGATGGAATCATTCAAGTTTGTCCTACTCTTTTATGAAGCTTCTTCTTGTACTGAGATATAATAGTTTGGGTTTCGAGAGCTAGATTAACAATCTCAGAATTACCAGCTGCTGAGCACCACGCACTCAGGTCCTGCATAAACACATCTCTGGTTGAACTGTGCCCCCTCTCTCTCCTTAGACCGAAAGCCATCTCATACAATCTGTCTGTAGACAGACAGGCAAAGAAGAGGTTTGAATGGAGGAACGCTATGCTTTCATATTCATTATTCCAGCATGGTTTACGAGGATTTTAGAGAGGGTTCGTCAGAGATAAGAGTGTTGTAATAGAATTCAAAGTATTAACCTGAAGGCTACTGAAAATACTTTTATTTTAACCAGCACAAGTTTGGGCCATTCTTGAGAGCAGGCTGTATGGAGTAAAAATGACCTATTTCAAGTTCTTTCTCCATTTCTAATGGTTCCTCTTCTCACACTTCTTACGTAGGCATGACCCCAGATTTTACTACAGTCAGAGAGGGAACTGACCTTTTTTTAGGGGAACCAGCATAGTGATTATCCTATTTTTCTTGGCTAATTCTGGATAAGGATAGTCATGACTCTCAGCCTGGGCTGCATGTCATGAGGAGTGAGGTCTAAGTGCTGCCATGAGCCATCCAGCAAATCCATATGGGAAAAATAAGGAACGAGAGAATGTCTAAAAAGTAGGCATACTGGTGGAGCTTGGTCATGGCTGGAGGACCACTGGGCAGGCAGGATATCAAACATGGCTTTTAGTACTGAAAATACACCATCTAGCAGCCAGTGAGGTCTTGGAATACCCAGCTGTCATAATCCATGGAAAGATAAAATAGTGATGTGTGAACCAAAATCTTGTCCCAGGACAGGACCTGTGCTAATGATTGGTTCTTCATCTTCTCTCTGCCCTATAATGGTTGCTTCCAGGGACAAGGGCAGGGTCAAATCTATGGACCGGTTTCTAAAATGTGCTCCATGGACCACCTTGGTGAAATGTCGGTTCTTAGGTCCCTTCTCAGAGATAAAGAACACTGTGGGTGAAGAAGCCCAGGGATCTAGACTTGTAGGAGTTCCTGCGTGAATCTAGAATTTACAACCACTGCTGTGGGCAATGTGTGTGTTGTCTCAAGGACTCGTGAGTAATGGTTAGCAAGCCTTGAAGAGGCAGGACTAGGGCCACAGCAGAGAATTACAAAAATCAAAGGCTGTTTAAAAATAATCAGTTATCTAAGTTGAGCACCTGAAACCAAATACTATCCATATTTAATTGCATAGTAAGACAAAGTGTTCCTTAAAGATTAAAAAAGAAAGAATATCCTCATTCAATCCAAATAACAAATATATATTGAGTGCCTACTATATATAAAGTGGTGAACTTCAGAAAAGTAATGTGCTATCAGCTTAAAGTCATTTATTGGATTGTTCTGTTCTCTCATCCTTTCCTTCTCTTTATTGATCCTTTCTTCACGAATTCATGCTCCTTAATCACGAATCAGTTATGCTTCAGGAGACCAAGACGGGATTCTACCTTAGTCTAATCTGTCCATTTGAAAAACAGCAAAAGAGAATTTTGCTTCCACATTTTTCAGCAAGAGTTTTTGGGGCTTCTTTGTGGTTATAGTTCTAAGGTAACACACAAATTATTTGTAAAACACAGATATTTAAAAATAAGGTAACAGACAAATATTTGCCAGGGCTGGACAGAGTCAATTTAGATGAAGGGTCAGTCCAACTGGTTGCAAAGCCCAGCTCACGGCCAAGGGAGCACAGCAGGGGTAGAAATGGGGCTCACTCGCTGGACCAGCGGGAGACTCCAGGCAGCAGGGCAGAGTCACTGTTTGTTTCCTGATTAGACGGTTCCTCAGCTCTGCAGCCATTGGGTGTATCCTGCATGACCTTAGGGCAGCCACAGAAGCTATGAGCATAAAAGCTTCCCTCTCTGTTCACTGGCCCACTGCCTCCACTGAAGGAGAAACAGATTTCCATGTCCTTCTGTCCCCAGTGCTCAAGAAGCTTGCACTTTTGCTAATTTGGTGAGGAGCTGAGTGACTACATTCAATTTTGCACTGAGGCTCTTTTTTATTAGTTTGATCAGTTTGATTCATGATTAGCTCACCACTGATGAACCTGCCTATGATCCTGAACAGAATCGATGCACATGACTGCAATGGTTTTCTACTTTTTATTGAATTGTTTCAACACTACCGATACATATGTGGACATGTGGGATTGTGTCTGTCTGGAGAAGTCCATAATCACCTCTCTCTCTCACTTCTATCAAATGTGGAAACATTTAAACGGGCTCATTCTTAAGCATCAAGGATATGTGATAACAGGTGGGAGGCAACAATACCATTAAGGGCTCAAATACAATCCAGGGAGTTACGTCTGAAGGGCTGAAAAGTCTAGGAAAACCTTCTAATATTTTTAACTGTAATTTCTGCATGGATAATTCTAGAATAACAAA